CTCTCCACCGGCTCGCGTTCGACCAAGCACGACGACAAATTTCGGCATTAAATAATACACGCGGTCCACCTAACGAATGTAATTATTCCGGCAGTAGACCACCGCTACCGACGTTGCCAACAAGAAAAATCTAGCTGGAAATGATCGTGTTTTCAATCATTTCGACGCTAATTTGTTCGACGGGGTTTGTTAAAAAAAAAAAAAAAAACGAAGCGTTTTTGAAAAAATTGAGATTAACGTTTCACGGTTTTCACGGTTTCGTTGTTCAAAGTTCCATGAAATGATGGGGGGGGGGGGGGGGGGGGGGGAATCGTACGGCAAGTTCTAAAGAATTGCTGCAAATGGGAAACTTCAATCTTCAACATTGTGATGAATTCAGTCATAAATAAAATCTTTCGGTGTTTTTACAATTTTTCTTTTTAGAGAAAATAGTTTTCTGTTTTTTACATGCTGTTAAAATATTTTAGAAAGAGAAGAAAAAAAAAACAAATTCACGATAGTGAAAATAGAAGCTTTTAAAATTAAACTAAGTAGATTGTGATATGATTCTTTTTAACACAGTTTGAAGTATTGACAATTTTTCATTTAAAAACTGTGTGAAAATAATTTATATTCACCACAATAATGGTCGATAAAAAGGTCATAAAATTTACTTTGGAAAGCCAAAATATTCCACAAAATGGTATATATTTTTTCCTTTTTCGTATTCTACGTGCAAACACTGGATAAAATATCATTAATGTTAAAAACCCTTATGTTTATTCAGTTTTGCTCATCACTGTACCTATTCATTTGTCAATTTTATTTTCACACTGTTCAAAATCACGTAATAATAATATGATGCTTTTCTTTGAAATATGTGCACTTCAATTTTTCATCAGAGAACTAAAATGTCGTGAAATTTTGTAAATTATCGATGGTTTTGAACAAAATTAAATATTATTTTCTCAATTAAGGAAACAGCATAAATCAAGGTAATACACATTTATTTCGCGATGATAATCAAGGGAAAATTTATGATAAAATCTGTTTATAAAATGTAACACTGTATTACATAAATCAGGAAGAGCATACATAATTCAAATTGTAAATAAGATGGAATTTTCATAACGATGACTAAAATCACGTTTTTCGAGTTTGCCACTTCTGGAGTAAATGTGCACGTTATCGTAGACTATTTCAAGGATGAAAATTACGAAAAAAGAAAAAAAAAAAAGAAAAAGCAGTTTTCACGGAAGTTTTCCAAGGAACTTTTTGTTTATACGTTGTACATGTAAAAATAAGCCAAAGGGAAAGAACAACATTTCTTCTTTTAAGACTTTGTTCTCAAGAAAGTAGATTTTTAACTTCAAATGTTTAAAAATCGCCTCGCAGCTGCTGAACTTTTGAATTTAATTTTCTCGAAAGTAAAACATCTTCGCTTGGTACGTTCTTGATACTAATTTTTTAATGTCATTCGTCGTTCATTTCTTTCTTTTCGGCGATCATTTAATCACGAAACAAAATATCATTTTTATTTCGATCCAATTTTTAATAAAATCAGTAATTTTGCAGAATGCAGGACGAAAATCATTTTGAATATACGTATCAAAAGTACATGGAATCTGTCAAATCAGAATATAATTTTCTACTCATTCTCCAAAACAGATTATCGCGTTTTGTGGAAAATCATCGATGCATTGAAAGTTCTAAATGATTTATTAATTCTAAAACACGCCGGTTGTATAAAGAGTAAATAAATAATCTTACAATTATTGATGGAAACAGTAATCGATAGTATTAGACGCTCTTTGATTGACGATGAAACATATTCGAACTATAATAGCTTAAAGGTCTGAATCCTGATCGATCATTTATTTTCCATTGATCTACGGTGGGATACCGATTAATCAGAGCGAAGCTTTTAGTTGAATGAAATGGTAAATAAAATATCAAGCGAGTTTTAGCGTAAAATACAAAATTGTCTTTAATTCTTTAAGTTAAGGCGAATGGTTTTAGCAATCTGCTTAGCAATATAAAATAGTGCCAAATATAGAATATAAGTTAGAATTTCACTGTATACATGATAATAATAATTAATTTCATCCTTGAGAAGAATATAAATTATTATTATCACGAATTTACTATTAGGCAAAGATTAGTAAGAACTTTTATTGATTAAATTATTTATTGATTGATCTTTCACCTTTATGGGGAACATTATGACAAAATGAGTCGAGAATTGAATTGATTTAACAATTAATATCAACGTATTTTAATTAATAATAAATAATAATTCATTCGATAATTAATTTTTGTAATGTTAGATTTTAGCGAGTCTCATTGTAAGCAGATTACAGATATTTATGCAAATCCGTATTACGTGAATACAGTATAAAAAATATGGGGATTTTACGCATTGATAATTTTAAATATTGTACTTTCACGCTGTGCAAAATTAATAATGCTGCCGAGTAACATTTTATTAAATTATTTATTTTGTTAATTATTACATTTTGTTAATTATTTACTCTTGCCCAATCCGGAATTCTTCGGCAATCAAATAATGAAATTAAAATTATTTCCAATTACAAAAATTAGCCAAATAGTATATTATAATAATCAATTGTTCGACAAACTTGAATTTCTCGAAAAAGAAATCTTAGATGAAAAATTTGATTTTTTCTTTTCTTCTATCTTTCCATTTGGATCGAAAACAGTCTTTTGAATAATATAAATTTCTTTCGATTTGAAGTTGATTTCGAGTTAAGTATAAAAAAGGAACATTTAATATTATACTATAATAAGACTCGTTATCACCAACTGGTCAACTTAGTCCTACACTTTATTCGATATATACACTTTTTATTCGATGAAACTTCAAGTTAACTTTAGAAACTCATATGTTAAAAACAATTTCAAATATTCAAGAATATTAAATATTTAAGATTATATTTAGATAGAAAATATTTAAGAAGAAATACTTTTATTTTAATGCTTTTCTTACAGCTTCCCTGCCTCGTAACTGCATCAACAAATAAAGTTTCAATTCACCACTGGTAATATCAAGATCAATTGCTTTAAATCACATGTGTCATATAAAAAGAAAAATTATATCTCTCCCGTAATATTCGACACGAAACGCATTAATACGACCCAATAAGAACACGCTACACGTATTTTCAAATATCTCCATTTCCATACATAAAATACTATTTTTTAAAAACGCTAAAACAAAAACCTAAACACAATAGTACAACCTCTTACCCAGGGAAATTTAAATCTGTTGCGTGTGAACATGTCCATCCCAGTCAACGAAATTCCTTCTCAATCGCAAAGACAAAAAAAAAGAGAAGGGAGAACGAGTAAGAACAGCGAGAGAGGACATCGCGTATCCCTTGTCCATTATCTCACGAGCGCCTTTTTTTCCCTTGGCCACCCTTTCTTCCCTCCCCCACCCACACTTCTCGATATTTCACGTACGTTGGCGCATGTGCGTGTATCACATGTATCATATACACGTAAAGAATATAATGTGTATATATATATATATATCTATATATAAAAATAATATAATATCGCATCATATAATATCATATACCTATGTATTATTATATATAAAGATCCGAGCTGAAGCTACGAAGCGTGAGAATGAACGGCTATCTATGGAGCGTTTGCTATTGTGTTGCACTTGAGTTCTTGTGTCGGACAAAGAAGCCTCGGGAGGCAGTCCATGGGCGTAGGATCAAGAGGATCAGTTTCTTTCGCGAGGACGCCGCTGGCGGGGGAGTAAGGTGGACCAGGGGACCTTGGGGATATAGTGGCGATCGAGATTCGTCGGTGTCGTTGTCACCGGGGCCCCCTCCATTTTCGCGTCCCCCCACTAACGGATCGCCACCGTGGAGAGAATCGTCGAGAGACGACCGACTCGCGCGATAAACGAGACTTTACTCAAGACAGAAGAACGTTCGGATAGGTCATCGCCGCCATTGTCGATTCGTTACACCGAGTGCCCGCCAAATTACGAATCACTATGTCGTTCTTCGGGAGTACACACCGACGTCGATGTTGACAATACGCGACGATCTTTGTTTCTTTCGCTGACTCATCGAACCTTCTTCCGTTCAGTGGAGTGACTGCACGTTTGAATGATGGTTCGACAGCGATAATTGGAAAATTTTTCAAATTTGATACTTTCCTTCGACTCTGCGATTTGATGTAACGTTTTGTAATGTGTGATGTGATAGATTAGAATATTCGCGACGCTAGAATTTCAATTTAACGTAATGTCAGATTTCGGAATTGTAATATTGGAATTAGAATTCTGAAATTTTAATATTTCTAAATGATACCGTACAATAATACAATAATATAATAATAATGTTGTTTCGGAATATAATTTAACATACATTAATGTATATAATTTATATCTAAAAACGGAATATTATGTATATAATACGATATGCAGTAATTCTATTAGAATTATTAAGAAACATCGAGGAATAAAAATTTTCGCACACGTTTTATCACAAACTCAACTTCAAATAACTAAATAGCTGAATATCAACCAAATTTCGTAGATTAAAATGATAGTAATTATTACACAGTGATTAAAGAATTATAACTATAATGATTCAATAAATGATGTCGAAACGTAGTAAATTTCGTTCAATGTTCGAATCAATTTCCAAGCAAATCTCAAATAAAAATCTTAATCCGGCATCTCGAATAAACTCTCATTGTTCGGTTATCTATTCTACTCGGCCTGTGCAGGAAATAAAAATCCACGGAATCATAGAAAACCGTCGTTTCTCTCCACGGGAACGTTTCGAAGATGTCTGGGGAAAACGCGTTGGAGGTCGATGAACGACAAAATTTCGAAGCCACGGCTCGTATTGTCCAAGGAAGCGGGCGCGTTCGACGCGCCACTCGAAGAATTCGGGACGAGTAGAGAGACTTTTCTCTTGGTGCTTTGTGTGTACTCTGAGCGTGTTTAGTGTTTAGTGGAGACAGTAGTGTACCTGGTTGCCGTCGTAGGTCCAGGATCCGAACTTCATGTCACAGTGTTGGTCGTCAAAGGGGAACCAAGTGATGTCTATCTTGCAAGTGCTCTTGAAGATGCCCGGAGGAACGTACAGGCAACTGCCGTTATGCGTGACCACCACGTTTGTTTGGTACGTCCCGTCGAAACCCTCATCCGCACTAACGTGTTCATATCACATCATTAATTATCGCCGTCAACCTCGTCCGCGGTGATTTTTCTTGTATTTCTGTTGTCGCGATTTCATTTTTTTTTTTTTTTTAATTGTCGATATTTTACCGATAATTTGTTTCAATTAGTTTTACAGCGTCTTTTTTTTTGGCAAGAACAAGACTATTGATTTATATTTTAGTAGAAAAAGGTTTTTTTTATTGTCGATATCTTACCGATTATTTACTGTTTTCTATTTTTCTTTTCTAGGTTTTTTTTTTTTTTTTTTTTAGCAAGAAGAAGATAATTAATGTATTTCAATAGGGGACATATAAGTTTTTAACTTCGTTCCTTGTTTTATCGTGAGAAAGTCTTATTGAAATAATATTATTTCAATTGCAGAGTGTTTGGTAGAATTTCTTTGGGAAAACACAAATATATAAATAGAAAGAAACTATCGATGATTCAAGCGCAAAATTTGGAAAAAATAGTTTAAATACTTAACTAATATAGCTAATCGGTCGCAGAATTTCTAAAAATGACCACGAAGGAGAGCAAAAAATTTAGATGTTTGGCGTTTTTTTTCTCTCTTGGTTTCTTTACTTTATTTATTCTAAACGACGACTTTAACTTTCAACCTTCTCCAAAGGAAGGGAAGTTGAAGAGCGTTTCGTGCTCGTTCAAGTGAATAATAATCTAAAAGTTCGTGTATCGAGTTCGCGCAAATGAACCATTAAAGTCATCCAGAAGATTAATTCGATAAGCTCCCTGGGAATTTATGCATAATATATAATGGAGAAAAATAAAGGAAAATTTAAAAAAAATTTACTGTAAACAGAAATGAATTTTTCGAATATTTTAATTTTCCTGAAACTAAAATTTCTGCCAGTTTCCTTCTCGTTTATCTTGTATAATTTAATTTTCTCAGTAATTTCCCTTTTTGAAAAGTAAATCTCTTGCGAAAACTTGTGAATTCCAAAGGATTAGCCAAACTTGAGTATTATTCTAGTCGGAATAATTCAGGATTCTGTTCTCTTCTTTGTTAAAAGAAAACTTCTTTGTTAAGAAAAACAGTAAAATATATAAATATACAATTTTTATGTACAAAATCAATTTAAAAAAAATATTAAAATTAAATTAAGGAATAGCATTGTGTATTAGTAACATTCGAAACTTTTTCGAAGACTTCCTCCAAAAAGAACTGTTTGCATAAAAACTAATTCTTATAAAATTCAATTTATTTGATTAAAAATATATTTCGTGGCAAATACATTGTTCAAGATTAATAAATAATATTTCAACTCTTTCTTAAATATACTTTCCTACAAATAGAAAAATTATACACTTCTAACAAGTTGAACAATCATAATAAATAAAGAATGTACAAATATCACAGATCTAGAATAAATGTTAGGAACATACTAATCGCTTTGAGATATTTTTTATTCTCTCAAGCCTTCCGAAGAAAGAGAAAAGTTGAAAGAAATAATGTGCTCCCAATATCTCTATACTTGCAAGCTAATCCCTCAAAAAGAATTCGAAGCGACATTTAAAACAATGAGAGAGCACAAAGAGAAACATCTCAGCACGTTTCACGAGATAGAAATATTTTTATTCGCTGTTATATTTATCCCTAAGAGAGCAGCTTATTAAGTTCTTAGAGCGAAATCTGCTTGTGAATTACTAACGAGCAAGCTCGAGTGATTTTACAGTGAAGTTGAAATCTAAAGGCTAATGAAAGCTAAAGGCTAATTCCAGCATTATAGTATATTTTTGTGACGTACATTATGGATATAATATCACTCGTAATATCTATAAATTGAAAATAAAGCAAATTTTCTGCCTTATTATATTTATCTGTTTGTCTTTCTTATCTATCTATTTTATAATAAGAGTAAATTTCTGTACGTATATCAAATAATATGTAAATTTTGTGTATTTTAATAAGATTTCACCACTTTATCTACATACGTGTATATTTCAGTCTTCGTGTGAAAATTTTTCCAATTTTTATAATGTTATGATATAAAATATTGAAAATAAATTTTAATCTACTTATTTCTTGTTATATATTAAAACAATAAAATCAACTTCAATTCCAGTTATAGATATATTTTTTATTATTGTACCTATAACGTATTAATCTAATCTTTTATTATTTATTGACATAGTATAAGAATCATTAACTCAGTATTTAATATTGTTATGTATCACTACATACTTACAAAAGCACAAAACTGTGACTATTTATTTGAGAAATTTTATTCGAATGATGTGAGCTGAAGAATGTTAATCAAATCTTTGTGAAACACACTGTCATCGAATTTTCAAAAATATGGACATCATTCTTAAAACCTAGTCCATAATCGTTCTTCTGGAAGAATAGTAGTTAATTGAAATTCAATAATAGACGAAAGGAAATAACTATAGCTGTATTCCACAGATTCATCTAATTATGAATTTTGCTCTGACTATTATTGTAAATAAACCATATTATTTAAATTCCCTTTTTTGACTGACAAAATAATACCACCATTATAATAATTTATAATAATTTTTAAATCTGATCCAATGACACGTGAGACGTTTGCAGCTGCCAAATTACAATTATGAAATCAAAATACAAAGCACCACGCTCCAAATTTGAGATCAAAGACACTCGAAAATATCAATCTCAATAACAAAAAAAAAAAAAAAAAAAAAAAAGAAACGCCAAAGTTCTCTCTTTCCTTAAACGGCGTTCAACAAGTTCGAAGTCGAATTAATATCGTCACTCGCGCATAAATAAACGAATGATTCAAATCCGTACAATGTAAATTCAAAAGTCGAAATTCAAACCCCCGGGAAACTGTCGATTATACATCCTACAGGCCACACGCCGAGCTGGAGTCTACTTGCTCGCCTGGAGAATCAGTTTCGCAATTTAACAACGCGCGTCTGCCGCGTTCCGCGAGAGAGAGATTTGTCCGCTAAAGCAGCTTATCGCGCGCTTCTCGAGAGTGTCTCACAGATAAGACGCGAAGAAGACGCCCGGTTTGTGGGGTGGGAAGGGTGGACGGCCCGATATGCATCCGCGAGAGCTTCGGGAACATCAAAACGCCCCCGCTGCTTTTATTTGCGCACCTGCGCGAGAGTAATTCCGACGTTACACCAGCCAGGCTAGTGTATTCCCTTTCGCGGGAAAGGTGGATAAAGAAGGGCGAGAAGCATCCGAATAACGTTGTCGCTACGACCCTGGAGGATTCGCGACGACACACTCGTCGAAATACGTCTAGACGCGAGGTGCGAGTTCCTATCGATTTCACCGCGAGTGCTCGCAACACGCCGCGCTTTCCGTTTGAGGAATTTATCACACGCTCGTGTCGTTTAGGATCGTGTCTGTCGCGTTCGAAGGAAGAAAGATATTTTAACCCCTTAAGCGGTTGTATCGAGTATAGTCACGAAAAGATGGACCCTTTTTGGTTTAATGTCGGGTATACTCGTCAGTCGTAGAAAAGCAAATTTGCTTTTGCTATTTATTGCAAAATTTAGGCAAAAAATTTATATACATTTGTAATTTTAGCACTCAGCGTTAATCATTTTAATTTTGCAAATATTTGATTTTCTTACGAATTGATGAAAGTTCAAGCTCTTTTCTCCACATTTTGAATTTTTAATGAAATAAAATGAAAATGTCAATTAAAATAACAAGACTATAAGATTTATACAATGACAATTCTAATGGTTCCTATATAAACATGTTACATAAATTACTACAAATAAATAGAAATATTCATTAAAATAAAAAAAAATTATTCTGTTTGAACTGAAGTTTTAATAGTCTGTTTAGTAAATAGTGTTTTTTGCAGACAAAATTCTTACAAGAAACGCTCATCGGGAAAATATAGAAAAAAGAAAATAATTAATTGTAAAAAAATTAATCGAAGGACAATTTTGAAATATTTCATGGTACTAAAATAACTTCGTCAGAAGGCTAGTCACATATAAAATTTGTACAAAGAAGAATGAAAAATCCGAAACAGAAAATTTATATTTACATTTCTAGAAATACAACTAATTATAACCGACAGATCGTTTCTATTTTTATTTCTCACTTTTACACAGTTGATTTGAAAAAAGAAAGATCACCTTGATTGAATCGAGATATAAAGATAGTATAAACTTATTCAGTTTCAATTGCGAACAAAAAGAATTACGTATCTAATTCTTCGATAATTCTTCATGGAAATACGATCTTATCGAATAGCAACCAAATTTTAGCAACGCGAGAGATGCATCGGTAATTAATATAGCTCCACATCAGTGATTGCATAATCAAACACTACACGTCTACAAACAAATCGACGTTGCAATGACTTTTCACTGTGCCAATGTGGATAGTAACAACCGATAAACATCTGTCAGAGACTGATCGATTAGCGACAATTACTTCAAATTATTAGCGATTCGACGTGATAATCGTTATTTGCTCAGGATACAACGAAATCATTACCAGTGTTGTCGCGTTAAAGGCAGAGAGTTGCCATAATTTCCATCTACAAGTACATTCTGTTGCTATTAGGTTCAAATTAACTGTGCACATCCGATAGTTTCCATATGTAATATCTGACAAACTTGTTCGATTAATAAGTCATATACATGGAATCTAAACGCTATCGTCGTAACAATTTAGGTTGAAAATTCGTTAGATTGAAAATCAATTGTTCACGTTTCACAAGAGAATGAATAATTCAAATCATACATTTTGAATGCATTTAAAATATTTAAGATATTACAGAATAGATGTTCTTTTAAATTATCATTGATCCAGTAGTAATTGTTATCTATGACTATACTATAATTTTAGCTATAAACTATAATTTTCTTTTAGTATCCTTCCAGAATGATGACTACAATTTAATTTTAATATTCTTGGAAAAAAATAATGTTACTAGCACCTGTTACGTGTACATCGTACAAAAATTTAATTGATAAGATTCAATTTAAACTTGAAATAATGAATACAACTCCG